GACAAGAAACCGTTAACATGAGACAAGAAACCGTTAACACGAGACGAGAAACTGTTAACACGAGACAAGAAACCGTCAACACGAGACAAGAAACCGTTAACACGAGACAAGAAACCATCAGCATGAGACAAGAAACTGTTAACATGAGACAAGAAACCGTCAACACGAGTCAAGAAACCGTTAACACGAGACAAGAAACCGTTCACACGAGACAAGAAACCGTCAACACGAGACAAGAAACCGTTAACACGAGACAAGAAACCGTCAGCATGAGACAAGAAACTGTTAACACGAGACAAGAAACCATCAACACGAGACAAGAAACCGTTAACACGAGACAAGAAACCGTTCACACGAGACAAGAAACTGTAAACACGAGACAAGAAACTGTTAACACGAGACAAGATATCGTGAACACAAGACAAGAAACCGTTAACACGAGACAAGAAACCGCTAACATGAGACAAGAAACCGTTAACACGAGACAAGATACCATGAACACGAGACATGAAAGAGTTAACACGAGACAAGAAACAATTAACATGAGACAAGAAACCGTTAACACAAGACAAGATACCATTAACACGAGACAAGAAACCATTAAAACGAGACAAGAAACTGTCAACACGAGACAAGAAACTGTTAACACGAGACAAGAAACTGTTAACACGAGACAAGAAACCATTAACACGAGACAAGAAACTGTTAACACGAGACAAGAAACCATCAGCATGAGACAAGAAACTGTTAACACGAGACAAGAAACCGTCAGCACAAGACAAGAAACTGTTAACAGACACAAGAAACCGTTAACATGAGACAAGAAACCGTTAACACGAGACGAGTAAGTGATATCACTTTCTCGCAATAAAATGTGTTACTTTGTGAATAAAACCACATAAATAAAACGACAGTAATGAATTGTTATAGCATACCTTCTTATCATTAAGGGGCGAGGCATGTTGTTTTCCTTTATTTTCTCCAGACAACCAATTTTAATATTAAGTGCATCACTTTGATTATCTATAACATACCATTGTATTGTGTGTGTGTGTGTGTGTGTGTGTGTGTGTGTGTGTGTGTGTGTGTGTGTGTGTGTGTGTGTGTGTGTGTGTGTGTGTGTGTGTGTGTGTGTGTTTGAGAAATGTGGTGTGTATAATTGTGTGAGTCTGTCTGTCGATTCATGTGGTGAATATATACATGACGTACCTAAGAATGCAGAAATAAAACAACCAGACAGTTATAATGGATAGGGAATTGATTCATAACAATTTATGTAAGTTCCTGCGAAATGAATTTCCAAAGACAGTTTGAGAAAAAAAAATTCTAAGGAATAATGTTTTTATGAATATTTTACAAAGCATCACATTACTTTTGTTCAAGGAATGAGGTTACGGATTAATGACGTCGTGTCCTCTCCATCCTTAAAGTTCAACTTGAAGCAATCACTGACAACTGATTGTTTAGTCATGCAGCTGTCTACCAATCACTTAATCACTTAATCACTCGGGAACGGTTTGATCTTGAAATATTGCTGATCCCATAGTTTTCTGTAACGTGTATATCTTGTTAAAAGTAACTGATGGGCCCATGTGCATATCTCACCTCTCCCCCTGGGAGACGATGTAGTGTGCATCGTGTGGCAAAAGTGGCAATGTGTATGGAGGGTAAGCACTTATGTGTGTGTGTGTGTGAAATGTGGTGTGTATAATTGTGTGGGTCTGTCTGTCCATGCATGTGGTAGATATTTAAATGATGTACCTAAGAACGCAGAAATGAAACAACCAGTTATAATGGATATTTTGTTAAAAGGAACTGATGGGCCCGTGTGCAGATCTCACCTGTCCCCCTGGAAGTCGATGTAGTGTACATCGTGTGACACAAGCGGCAATGTGTATGGAGGGTAAGCAGAGGTTGCTGGGGAGCTAAATTGTAATAATGCAGGGAATAGTAGTAACAACTGTGTAATGACTGCACTGCGGTGAATTCTAATTAAAAATGCCTCAAATTGTAATAACTTAAACTAAGCTGACATAAATTGTAATAAAATGGTATTCATTTGCTAGCGTACAAGGAAACATACAGGAAATTGTCCGACTATTGTAAAATAACTTTGAAAGCCTTTTCAAGCATTGAATCATTGAAGAAAAAGACTTTTGCACTGCCCCTGAATGCGGGGATGTATAAGGGTTAGTTTGTTTTTGATTGAAGGTAAACTCCGTTTTGGTTTCTTTAAAAAATATGGAGTTTTTAAAATGAAATGTTTTGTGATTTAGATAATTTATGCAATTTGTTTATTTTGGTTTTTTTAAAGGGCTAAAATTGTTTAAGGGAAATATATCTCCTTTCGATAAAGTTAACCAGTCTATATTTTGTAAGAATAAACTAATGCGCATTTAGAGATTATCTCCTTTAGCTATAGGCGTATAATGGAGCTTTATCACGCACTGACCTTGCAATACTGTACATCGTATCTTATTCAAGTTCTATTACTGAGAATGAGTGATTATCTCCCTTACCCAAATAGCCCTTTGCAATGCATCGTATGTTATTCAGACAGCGAGCAGGAAAGGTTTAGGGAGGAATTCCGGTCAAACAGATAACGCGCACTCAATCTTTCTCCATTCACACTGCTATTGCAACTTATTGTTCAACATGATTAAATACCAGGCTTCTACAAAGTATGAAGTTGTTCAATAAAAAACACATGTAAAACAACGGGTTTGACATGGGAAATTAGTAATTAATTGTCTTCATAATCACATGTATATATGGTGCTTACTGTGCATAGTTGAGCACAGTATTGTTTCAAGTAGTTCACTGTATGTAATGTATGATTCATACCGTTTCATGAGGGGGTTTACGGTTCTACATGGTTATTGTTTTGACGGGGGCGGTCGGGTAGCCTAGTGGTTAAAGCGTTAGCTCGTCACGCCGAAGACCCGGGTTCGATTCCTGACATGGGTACAATGTGTGAAGCCCATTTCTTGTGTCCCCCGCAGTGATATTGCTGGAATATTGCTAAAAGCGGCGTAAAAACATACTCACTTACTTACTATTGTTTTGACGGGTTATATAAAACTTCCGGCAGAGATTATATGTTTTTTACCTCAGAATACATAGACAATCAACAGATTGGTCTGTAGTTATTTATTTTCCTTAAAAATACGGTTGCATAATGTATTCACAATGTTTGGGTTGAACATAGTGACATTCTTCAAAACATACTTCAAATCTAAACCGGAAGCAAAAAAAGAAACCCAGTTAACCAAACGGAACCGTATACAAGAGTAATGAGTGAGTGAGTGAGTGAGTGAGTTGAATTGGATTTAACGTCGACTTGAATAGTATTCAACTTATATCACGGCGTGTCAGCTTGATGTTGGAGTAAAACCCGAAGTGATGCAGGTGAAAGCCCCCAGCACGGGTATAGTGCTGATCACATAATCGGGGCGAACCGGGATTCGAACACACTGTCATATGATTCTGGCGTGCCCAAGGAACACAACTCTGCATAACAAACTGCAGCACCTTAGGCCTGACCCCGTACACAACAATAATAAATTATCATAGAACAAAGATGTTTTAGATGAGATATGTATTGCGTAACATTCCATGAAGAAACAGTGGCAACATTACACTACAAAACTACAAAATATTTGCACAATAAGTGCAAAACACACAGGTTCATTCAACATACAAAGGAGGTACATTATAACAATTGTATTTAAAAACACGTGTATAAAAATGATATGGAAACAATATGAGAATTGAGCAAAACTATGGTATTGTTATACATCCAAGGAATTTGTGTATTATTGTAGATATGATAACATATCTTGGAAATTGTTTCTGGATACCTATTGGTAAAATGTATTAAGAATTTATCCTTTTAACAGAAGTTGTGAGAAATGTGACCTACGCTTTTGCAATATGTACATGTAGATAATTCTCAATATTTATGACTTGATCAACCTGTATGTTCTTAACTTGCTATTGGAGAAATGGGAATCCTTAAATGAATGCGTGAACATATTAACATTTAGACTGAAGTTTATTTACAGTGGATTAATTACATTATTTAAGTTTATTATTTCAAAAGTTTGTTTCATTTAACCCAGGCAACATTTTGTCAAGAAAGATTTATATTTGCTTGCAGGGCATGTTTAACAATGACATTTGTTGTATTATCTATATATGACTTGTATATGTACAAGTTTTGCCTGACAGACACAGTTATGTTTTATCTGACCATTTAAAGACACTGTTTCTTTTTTTGTGCTCTCTAAATATACCTGCATTGGCAACAACTAATTTGAACTTTACACTAATCCTCTCCTCCCATTGCTTACACTTCCTTCCTCGACATATGACATTATATGGCGGGGAACAATTGATGTACTGCAGCAATCTCTACTTGTTACAAGTTGCCGCAGTGTTTATTACAATTCACCGCAGTATCATATTTTACGGCAGTGTTATTACAAATCAATGCATGTGTTTAAAGGATACTGTTACAGCTTATTCATGTTGAAAAAATTGTTCCACTGCCCTTTCAGTGATAACAGGAACTACACAAACAAGGGATATTAACAATATAACAGAAATGAATATCTGTTCATGAATACATTCATCGAGATTCTTCTCTGGGGCAATTATAATACGTATTGCCCCTTCTGCCGTGACCGCACACTCACACACACACACGCACGCACGCACGCACGCACGCACGCACGCACGCGCGCGCGCACACACACACATGCGAATTATTAATTTATGGCGCTTGACAGTAATTCAGTCATAGCAAGGCGTGAAATTTTGATGTGTGTCTCGAACCCGAAACGTGGTCCAAGACGTATAACACACTGAAACCCGCGTGTACGGGCATGATCCTTCTTTTAATTGATCATAATTCAGTACCGTACACCCGTCATAGTTTTTACATTATATTATATTATGCATTGATAGACTGTCAGATATGTTTATGTTCTTCTTTCCAGTTGGTGTCTATGTATGTTCTGAAGCAGATGTTCCAAACGCAACCTGCACTTACGAATCCAAGCTGATAGGAGGAACCCGCTCTTGTACCTGCCACAGCGACTACCTGGATGTGCCTCGAGACGTCCTCAGTGTCAACAACACCTGCATGAAGAACGGCATTTGGTCGAGACCCTCGATTCACTGCTCTGGTAAATACTTGACTTACTTTCGTTCACACATCGATGCTATAGGATACCACGTGTACTTCGTGAGTAAAGTTTGATGGAGAATGCTGGGACCCCAACTCACCCCATACCCCTGAAAGCCCAATAATCATGAAGTCTATGTGTCACGGTTAATATATTGATGGCCCGCACTCTCCTTATTACTCTGATTAAGTATTTTATTTCACTGGCATGAATGATTGGTTTAAGACATAGAAGTTTAATATTTTCTTTTTCGGATGATATATCGTGATAGTGTAGAACATACGACGACAGCAAAATGTAATTATATTTTCTTTATAGTGATAAAATGTATTTATTCTAGAATAAAACTATAAAAGAAGTATTTTAAATAATTTAACATACAGATTTCTAAACGAGTCTATAAACCGTTTTTATTACTAGTGTATTTCAAAACGTATCTGACGTTTTAAGATACGTTTTCAAATACACAAATTGAAAAAAATCAGTATCTAACGGGGACGTGCAGTAATTTATACATGACTAACTTGAATTTTGAATATTATCTAAATTCAAACGTCGAAAAAAGGCGAAGTTGGTATGAGAGTGACGTATGAATAGATCATTCATAGCTTATAATTTGACGAGAGACTGTTCCTCCCAAGATACAACCTTGCAAAACGATTATGAATCCAAGCTGATAGGAGGACTTCGGTCTTGTACCTGCCAAAGCAACTATCTGGATGTGCCTCGAGACGTCCTCAGTGTCAACAACACCTGCATGCAGAACGGCAGTTGGTCGACAACTGCTGTGGTAAATACTTGACTTACTTTCGTTCACACATCGATGCTATAGGATACCATGTGTGTTACATGTGTAAAGTTTGACAGAGAATGCTGGAACCCCAACTCACCCCATACACCTGAATGGCAAGACAATTCCAACTACAAAATGAACCCAACTATTTTCCCCGTTCTCTTCATATGCTTCAGGAGTAGCTGTTTCTATTCAGGACCGCCTTCGTGGTCTAGAGGTAGAGCGTCAGCCCGGAGAGCGGAAGGTCCGGGGTTCGATCCCCGGCCGCGTCATACCAAAAGACGTTAAAAGATGGTACTTGTTGTTACCCTGTCTGGCGCTCGGTATTAAGGGGCTAAAACAAGGACTGGTCGGTTCGGAGTCAGTACACTGTGTCTGAGTCGGGTATTCATGTTAAACTGCGACATGGTATCTCAGTGGGATAGCACTATAAATCGACATAAGACCGGACTAGTACAAGCAACCACACACACACGTGCATGCACGTCGCTTTATAAGTGCAATAATCTTGGACGCGACGTTAAACCCAATTTCACCTCACCTCACCTCATGTTTCTATTCAGGGACATTTATACTTGAGTAAATTAATCCATTGCAGAACAGCTCGTTTAGGTATCTTCTCTAAAGTTCAATTGCTTAAATAATAAATAATTCATATAACAAATATATCATGTAACAAAATACTTGAAAAGGTTTGTTCATGTTATAAATATTTCACTCAATATGTCTATATGTTTATGTTCTTCTCCACAGTTGGTGTCTATGTATGTTCTGAGGCAGATGTTCCAAACGCAATCTGCACTTGCTAAGCTATTTGGAAAATAATAGAGAACAGTTTCAGTCATTGAATAGATAAGGATTACTATATATAAATTGTAATAATTTTCATTTACATTTATCAGGGGTCCTTACAATCCACCGTAGTGCAGTTATTATTTTTTTTCTTAATGTTTATTACACATCACCGCAGTAATACATTTTACCACAGGGGGGCACGGGTGGCCCAGTCGTCTAAGGCGCCGCGATTCGCTGTGCAGGGTTGCGTCCCTTAGACACGCCAGAAACCTATGATTGTGGGTTCGAATCCCGGTTCGCCCCAATTATGTTTCTAGGTTTGTCAGCACCATACCCGTGCTCGTGGGTTTCACCGAAGTGGTAAACGTCTGAGACCTGCATCACTTCGGGCTTTCCTCCCACATTAAGCTGACACGCCGTGATATAACTGGAATAATGTTAAAAGCGGCGTTAAACACAACTCACTCACTCACTCATTTTAACACAGTGTTATTTCTCTTCCCTGGAGTTTACATTTTACGGCGTTATTACATAAAACAAGACTGATTCACTGATGTAGTCACAACTGGTCCAGCTGTCACCAAGCTGATCTGGGTCAAGAGAAAGTCATCTAGCAATAAAGTAGCCCTTAAAGTTATTGTGTCAAAGGTACACCATGGAGTGATCTTGCTTCCGTCCTGTCTTTCACTCATGATTCTCGGGAACATATCGGGTTCCACTACACTGGTGTCTGATCTTAGCTAGTGCAGCTGCTCCAGCCTCCTGAATACATTCCAGATATATACTAACGGACAAAAGTAACTGCGCTCCAATTAAGTGATGTAAAAGGTTATGTTATTGAACATAATAACATAATATTTGTTTTAATAATGTATAATCATAACATTTCATATGAACAATACCGTAACAAAACCCATACCAGGTAACAGGAGACAGACGTCCTGAGAGACAGGTGTGTAACAATTCAATTGCGTTCATACATGCGACGAAGCGGCGGCGCATTGAAGACACTGGTTGATTGAAAACAGCCTGGGGGATGTTGCTCCAGTTATCAAACTGAGCTAGAGTTACCGAATGGTTTTGGTCCTCTCGTCGGTGTCGCTCCATCCCTTCCCACACATGGTCTTTGGGGAGAGGTCTGAAGAAACAGCCGGCTAGGGCAGTACAACAATAATAGCTGCTTCAAAAAGTCTGTTACATCACGTGCAACCTGTGGTGTGGGCATTGTCCTGCCTCAACGTGACGTTACGTCTCTTTGTTTGCCCAAAGGGAACGATGTCGTCCCGGTAGCGTACGCCATTCATATTGCAATTGAGAATGTTCTCCTATGAAATGGGATGCCACCCAATACCATTTCACTTCAACCCCGAACACCAACGACTTTGAGTAATGCAGGCGACGTTAAAACGTTCTCCTGGACGCCTGTACATGTAGACCATTGCACAACCATCTGAGCTGTACAAATGAATCTTGGAGTCATCTGTGAACCTTAGATGCTGTCTCTACCAAGCTGTGCCAGCCTGACGCTGACGTGGAAGCAAAATTGGCCGTATGGGTAGTTTGGTATTAATTCCGTAGTGTTGACCTGTAGATAACGTCTCAAAAGAGATGGCATTGTGTTTCGATTTCAATTTCGCTTTGCGCCACTTGCGAAAGTGTTTTCATGAGCACCTGACAGCTGCACAATCATTGTATGCTGTTCACATTCGCAAGCCACGTGTATGAGTATCATGCTCTCAACAAAAAAAGCAAACATCGAAATGCGCCCTGCATAACATGGACGTGCCAACTGTGAATCAGGATCACAAAGTCGAGGAGATGTCATCATGAATATGTATTGAAAGATGAATTATTCATTTTCAGATAGATATAGTTTTATTGAGCTTTATATATATTTTTAATTTGAAGTTCTCACGACAAACACTGAGGGACTACTTCCACATTCCTGGGGAAAACCCTGGGAATTCCCTAACATGAAAACATTCATAAGCGTTCTTTCTGATCATTTAGAACCTTTATTCTTAGTCACGGCGTTTCAGTTTACATTGAGAAATGTCAGAGAGAGCGTGACTGCATGATTGTTCACGAATATCCTCGCTGCGGTCTATCCTAATGAACAAACGAAGAAATGTAAATCTAAACTATCGTAGTATCGACTCAATCCTTGCCTCTCCAGCAATCTATGAATTTACCTTAGTGCCTGTTTGACGCATCTTTATTAACCTTTCAATGATAGGCCAGTTGATCAATGATGACTAACACACGTAACCGCCACCAGTTCATTAACAACTTCGGAAATCTCTCCCGTCACGTTTAGGTCTTGTACTTGATGTATTACGACGCTCTGTCATTGTGACTGACTTACTGAGGTAGTTCATTACAGACCTTTCTCATCTTATTAGGATATGATTTGAACACATGTGGTGCGTAAGATGTTTCTGAAGAGCAAGTTGTGCATCCATACGCCGATGCCACCTCTCTTTTTGAGGAACTATTATACTCCGCGATACAGCTGGTTGTTGTATGGCTGTCAGTGTAAACATGAAGTCACACGTACTAAATAAAATTGTGTTTAGATCTTGGCCTACATTCTTACTTAAGGTGAGAAATTGTGATAAAAAAATTATTAGATTTGACTTTCACTTTGTGTGAGTTCATTGAAATAAGAACCTTCATAGAGTGAGAGCCAAACATTGTATGAACGTCGTCGCAACGTCGGAGCTTGCGACGACGTTCATACAATATTTGGCCCTCAGACTATGAAGGTTCTTACTCCAATGAGTGAGTGAGTGAGTTTGGTTTTACGCCACTTTTAGCAATATTCCAGCAATATCACTGCGGGGGACACCAGAAATGGGCTTCACACATTGTACCCATGTCGAGAATCGAACCCGGGTCTTCGTCGTGGCGAGAGAACGCTTGAACCACTAGGCAACCCGAGCGTCCCTCATATTCCAATGAACTTAAACAAAGTGAAGGCCAATTCTTAAATAAACACAGTTACCTTTACTAGTATATATTCGTATAAATTGTGATTTCTCGCACGGTGAGTGACATGAAAAGGCAACATACATTTCTCTTGAACATGTGCTTTACGAACTCCAAAATGCTACAAATTGTTACCACATTATTTCTGAAAGTGTTTAACCAGTAAACACGTTTGGATAACTATGTAATTAAAAGTCAACATAAAACAATCAACACACTGGACCCTATCTAAATTCCCAAAATGAATATTATTATGATAGTGCTGGTATAAAGAAATATGACCCAGGTAACTTTTACAAGAGCTTTAATGAATCCAATATTGGTTTTCTTACCCCTGAAGATGAACTTGACATGTATTTAGGGTCAAAAATACTTTATCTGAGGAGTTAAGGTAAAACCGTACATTTGCATGCTACGATACTTT